GTTCATATGCACTGCTACTGATGAGGTCATCGGATGGTTTGGTGAAGCTTTGGAAGGTTGACAAGCCGGAGGAGTGCTTTCTTCCCCGTCCCTACGGCACACGTTTCATGCTAGGAATCTGTAGAAGGCGTGTCTGCAAGTCGAAAGAAGCTTTGGGCGTGAAGTCTTCCAGAGTTTTGAGGCAACATTCCTGTTTAGGCCAAGACCCAAACCCCATTCCCCAATATAGTGCCCTAAATAGTAGGATCCTTACATTCCGGACCCCCAAATAAGGTACCCCTAATTAATGTTCGGAAGCTCCCCGATGAACGAGGAGCCCAGTTTCATTTGTGACTTGGCCGCCCACTCTGGAGCCGTCCATCAGGTGCCTGCCTTCATGTGCATCAGTCCGGCCACCTCTTGTTCCAAAACGGCGAAATGAACGACTCAGCAGTGCCCTGGAAGTTGAGTCCCGGCGGTGCTGCACAGGTCTCCTGGGCTCCTGCTGGAACGGGTGCAGGTTCACTGCTTGTGTCAGTTGGCGCCGACGGACATGTGCCCCGGATTCTTTAGTCATGCGTTCAGTGCTTCCTCATGATACTTTCAATGATGTCTTGTTTCGTTGCTTCGGGCATCGTCAGCTTACTTAGAGCCGGTTGAGGGCAGTGTGAAAGCCGGCAAAGGTGTTCCTTTGGGGGCCGTGCCACGACCTGCAGAGGTGGCAGGTGGTACACCGCTCAGTGCACATATGCTTGTAATGAAGCACGAAGAAGACAAAGGGACATAGAGGCCTTGATGATTAGAATAGGGTTTAGGGGGTATATTATACTATAATCGTCATAGGAGCCACCAAAATCAAACACCCCTTCTTGCCGATCTGCAGGTTCATGAGGAGGACCTCAGCAGACATGGTGAGGTCACCGCGCGGTGCTCACGCCGAAGCAGATTGAAGGAATCTCTGGCAGCCGCCTCGATTCCGAATCGAGGCGGTGTCTTGGGCTCCTCCCACCATGGGAACTGCGGCGTTGGCCTTATAGGGCGGAAGGCAAAAGGCAAGGCAGCATGAGGTGAGCTCGAAAATCCGAGGCCTACGCTTGCGCCTTGTCCGATGGCTCCATCTCAGTGACGATCCACCAGGGAACTCTCCGTTCAGGCCTTCGGGCCCTCCGAAGCAGCACCATTGTTTATGTCACGCCTTCAACAGGCGTTCTGCATCTCATTTTGATCGATACTGGTTGCACGCGTCAAGAACCGACCATGGATCGCGATCAACTGTTTTTCTCACTTCGGGATGGAATCAGCGACATCTTGGTTGCAGCAGTTGCAGTAGCCGCAGCAGCCGCAGCCGCCCTGAACTTTTGTTTTTGCTGTGTGGTGGTAGGATTTGCACCGTGTCTTGTGTTGCATGATGGCATGACGGCACACATGCGGCAGAGGCAAAATCTCACTTTTGTCTATGCTTATCAACAGTCCTTCTATTCAGGATAGTACGGCTTCCTGAGGCGAGGACATGGGGTTCTGTACCGGAGTCCTGTTTCGATCGTTTGAAGGTCCTCATTAATTCAGGAAACTACGTTGTTGTGTTTCTCTGAGCCTATATTTTGGATGTCTTGGCACTATTACATTTGCTCCTGTCGGAATACGTTTCGTGCCAGAAAATCATCACGAACGGTTCCGTTGTCATAGATGATACATACATCTCGCGCGATGCCCTTGCCTTGATGCGAGCTTTGCATGCAGGTGATACTGGTGTCGAACACCGATGGCAGTCTGAGAACTTTGCGGTTCATAAGGGCAAGGCCAGACGGGAGTGAAACTTGCAACACATCATTGCATCGACCTATCTGTCTGTCTACTATCTAACATTTCTGAACACCTTTTTACACAGCGTCGAACCGTGGAGAAGACCCAAGAGTATGTGCCGTTGCGATATCACAAGTACGACTTGCAATCTGCAACATGTAGATTCATCGTCTGGGCTTTTGGTTTCGTCACAGCCGGACTCGAGTCTCCCTCTGCCTGCAGGCATGTGCCGTGTCTTGGTCTTCAGCCGCCGAATCCTCGGATTGGGAGCAGCAGTCGGTCCGAGAGTTGCCGGGCCGACTTCCCAGGTGGATCCTCAGAAGAAGGGGGAGGTGGTAGGAGCCTGCCGGGCACCACAGTAGGGTTTCGAGGGACCGTGGCTTTTCAAGCAACGCCTCCTTTGCCCTAAGACTTCCCTAAGACCGAGGTCTAGCCACCGCAGGTGAGGACGGTGCGCCCTCGCCCAGTCTTGGCAGGCACTGTGCGCAGTCCTTGGGCCTCTCTGGCAGGCGTGCGAGTGTGGCACATCCTGGAAGCCTAGGGCTCAGAACCGGTGACAGCGCATGCCACGCCGGATACGCCGGAATGCCAAGGTGCACGGCCGATTCCGGGAAGAGGAGCTCCCCCGACCTGGGCCGGAGGACCTTCTCGACAAGAGTGTTAGGGAGCCTGTACAGCTGGGCTGCAATGGGCTGCAACTTCTTCGTGATGGTGTCCGTTGCGGTGGTGGTGCTAGCTAGCCGGATCATTGCCAGACGTGCCCTCTTTGGGGCCTCAAACGTTACAGCCCGTTGTGTTCACGTTCGGCATGACTTCTGCAAGGATTGCCTCGCTTGAACTGAATCCTGACTCCTCGTTGATCTGAGCGCTTGAACTGCGTCGCTTGGTGCCTGGTGTTACTGTGTAAGGGTCGCGCTGGGCCGCAGTAACCTCTGCTTTTGCTGCCGCTGCTGCGGGAGTAGGTAGGTGCGCTTGGTTTTCGCTGTTACGTGCACCGTGCCTGTGTGTCGCATCCCAAGCAACTTCTGTTGATTGGAATCCAGTTGCCAGATATATGCCTCTGTCGGGTTCTATCGGCTTGGAGTGGGCACCCCAAAGTCCTGAACTCCAGACCCTAAACTTCAAGCCCTGAACCCAAAACCTGAGTCCGGAGATGTCCCACCAGCTGGAATGTCTGACACGGACTGTCCTGAGGAGCCCATCCGCGACGTCGCCTGGAAGCCCTGGGATGGACTGGGAGATGTGCTGGCGCACGGGCCTCGAGAACAGGTTAGGTGGAGTCTGCACAGACCCTCGTGAAGAACTAGTAAAGGACCCTCTAAAGTAGGACAGCCATCATACAGACCCCAACTAGACAGGTTCTCCAAAGAAGAATTGACGACTGCACGTGCTTGTTGAATGCTCCAGGTTCGCTCAGGGCAAGCAAGTGGGCTTTCTGCGCCGCCCAGAGCCGAGAAAACCTCTCCTTGCCGACTAAATCAAAGGGAGAAAGCTTGGGGCCTAGAGTTTCGGTCGCGGTCCAATCCAGCCGTTTGCCGCGAAAGACATGCCCCAAATATGTGTAGCCCTTCTTCAAACCATACGTGGAGCTTTTTGCCTGTAATGGCCACAAGACTGATGAGCTATACGCTGGTTTGTCTAAGGACCGCTAAGCCCCATCCTCTGCAAAACCTCTAAGCGTCCTCAGGCCCAGGTCAAATTCCACAACCTACTTTTCTCGAGGGCCGTGTTATAGAACTCATTTGGGCCCTACCAACACTTGGAAAGTAGGTTCGATGGTTTCAGGTGGGTTCTGATAGCCTAGAGGTGGCGCGTAACCCTAAACCCTAAGCTTCGCATACTTTAAAGGTAGGCTACATGGTGGTCTGGCCTCATTACTCGAAGCCCTCTATGGTTTCCGGCCTCTGTGGTTTAAAAGGTAGTCTGTGCTACAAGTGGTCCACGGGAAGTCTAGGGTAAAAGCTGCTCGAGGTGAGTCTGACGGCCCTGGGTGGTCTTTGGACACGCCTGTCAAGCTAGACGAGGACATGATCGAGGGATTTCGTGGCAGGGAAGTTGGCCTTGATCCATGAAATATGAAGCCTGAACTTTAAGCCATCTACAGCATCTGGAGTATGTGCCGCCCAACCATGTGCGCAGGACGTCTGGAAGCTGGAATGGCAGCCTATGGGAAGCCAGTTGGTCGTTACATGCGGCGAGAAGGACCCTGCATTCCGTTCCTTGTTGCCGGATAGGATGTAGGGGTACCGGGTTTCGCAAGGGGTTGCGGGGCCGGCTGCGGTTGGATAATGAGGCATGACAAAATAGTTCTAAAGGGTGCAAAGTTTCAGCCCGCAGTTATCGTGACTGTCAGGAGTATCGCAGCCTGCTGTTGAAGCAGCAGCTGTGTGGCAAATGGGATGTCATTGTGGCGGCCCCGGTTGTCAAGTCCTAAACTATCCCAAAGCAATCTTGAACCCGTACCTCCCTGTAACTGTAACAAACCAGCCGCTCAAGCCCAGGACGTCAGCGGAACCACGGCGTGAGAAGAGCTCGAAAGAAAATACGCGCGACTTACAGAGCAGAGCTTGAGTCTGCAGTTTAGGGTTTAGAGTTGGTGATACTCCCCCCAATCTCCGCCATGAACTGAGCATGTATGAAAGTTTGCTCACACGGAAGACCGGCAGCAAGGTATGCTGTTATGTTTCGTCCTACTTGCGAATGCATCCTACTTCACGCCTCGCATGCGTTTAACAGCATGCGTGCCATCCCACCCTCCCAAAAACTCCTTCTGGCTGATTCAACAGCTCCTGTGGGTCAGACAGTTTTGGGAAGCAGCCGCAAGGGATGTTTATCTTCTGATGTCAGGCTGGTTCGCTAGATTCCAAGGGAGGCACATAGCACGGCGACTTGCACTTCACACGCACTCGTTTTCCTCGTCTGCTAAGCTTGTCTAAGCCTAAGCAGTGTTGTATGGCCTTGCTGGGTGCAGCATGGAGCAGGGTCACGGGCTGGGCTTGGTTGGGTTTCACGCTCGGCACGTACGGCGCCTCAAGCCACCTTCGCGCAACATTCCCGCAAACACCTTGGCGAGGCTAATTTCAGCTAGCTCGATCTCCTGGGGTCTATGTTGCTACAACACCGCCGACTCACATACTTCAGTCGCATGATCAGGCCAGTATATGCTTGTCAACGCAATAGTTTTCTGACCTCCGACACCGTGCCCTGTAGCGTGGATCATGACGGCGGGTCGACAATCCCGCTTTGGCCAGTGGGCTGGTGTCCCCGTCAGCCAAGGCTCTTGGTGTCTGTGGATGTGTGTTGTAGAGCTCCGTTAATGCAGAGGCGTCACACTGGCAGGAGACAGTGGCAAGAGCGTTCCCGACGAAGAGAAGAACAAAGTTCCAGTCAAACGGCCGCAGCCCCGCCCAAGGCCAATAAAGCAGGACAGCACAGCCCGCCCCATCTCCCCATCTCCCCTTCAAGTCTTACTACATATTGAATATGAAAGAAATAGTCTTGTATGTATGTATGTATGTATGTATGTATATATATATATATATATATATATATATATGTTATTTTCTGTATGTATATATATATATAATATCAGTTTAGATTAGTATACATTTGTTATACATAATTATGATATGTGCAAGACAGGACGGCGGCAGCAGAAGAGCCTTCGCGAGCCCAAGATGGTCGGGGCTTCGGGATCCGAGAGATTCCCAGAAGCGCTGAAGCGCGAAGAGCCGTTTGCCAAGGATCCGCGTGGTATTTCAGCCACGGGTGGCGGCCGGCGGCACGGATGGCTTGGGCGAAGTCTGAGAGTCCAAGCAAAAAGTGCGAAGTTCGGGAGTTGAGGTCCGAAAACACGCAAGCCTCACTGCTCCCACCGTCACCTTCCTCGATGTCGCGTCCCAAGCCCTGCCAATAGATGATTGATTTGCTGTGATTTCAGCAAGGCTGGAGAGGTGGTTGAAATAGCCGAAGTCAAAGCAGGCACGCTTCCCGCTTGCTGCTCATGATCTGGGTTCAATCCATCTATGCTCGGCGTTTGCAGTCTCTGTTGTGAGCTTGCGGTCTTGGTGCTTGAGAGTTTTGCGCGTGATTTGCAAGGATGGGTGAGGCTTGCTGACGAAGAGAAGGACGACCGTGACGTGTCGTGTCCTTGTACGGTCTGCCTGAACTGGACATGGCAAGATATATTGCATGTAGTCTATGTATATATATATATATATATATATATATATTCATATGTATATATCAGTCTATGCAGTAGTATACTGATATGCTACATATAAATATACTCTCTCCCTCTCTCTTTACACATATGTATATATATATATATATATACACACATATTTGTAATCTATATTCCGTTAGTGTACTATACATTGTATATCATATAGCACTAGCTCCCGACCCGAATCCGAAGCTGAAGCTTCCTGGGAGTTTCGGAAAATTTGGGAGCGCCTTATTGTGGTGTCCTTGTAGTAAGGATCCTACTATTTAACGTACTATAAACCCTAAACCCTAAATCCCTAAAACCCTCAAACCCTCAGCCCTCTCCAACTGTACTGCAGCCGGAAAAAGGTCCTCAAAAAAAACCCTAAAACCCTAAACCCTAAAGCCCTAAACCCTAAACCTAGGGTTCCAGATTCCTAAAACTCCTTAGGCGGACGGAAAAAGGTGCTCAAAAAAAAAGACCCAGGGTCCCAACTTTCGGAAACCCCCCCTCCTAAACCCTAAACCCTAACCCCCCCCCCCCCAAAAAAAAAAACCTAAGCTTGAGGTCGGATGACTGCCAGGCCTGGGCTCGGAGCTCAGCGCGCTTTAGCACGCGCTGACTTCGGAAAGCCGCCTGATGTTATATGACATGATGTATCATGTATATGTCTATATATATATGCATATATATATATATGTATATATATGTATATGTATATGTATATGTATATGTATATGTATATATGTATGTATGTATATACACAGTATACCCTGCAAGTCATTAGGCGGCGTGCACCTCTGATCGCAAGGAAATGCGGAAAATCTAAGCAGTATATATGAATAACTTACATAACATGATTGTCACGTATAATATAGACTGCTTAGTATACAATGTGAATACTATCCCAAATCCAACAGCAAAGAAGCCCCGCTAATGCACATGCTGAGACGTCTGAGGTGCTGCAGGATGGCAAGGAGGTCAGTCTCGGGGTCCTGCGCCACGGCCGCACTTATGTACTATAGGGGCATATAATGCGCCCATACTATTTTGGGGTTTCCTTATTCTAAGTATAGAATAATATCCTACCCCTGGTTTCCTTATTGTAGTTATAGTTTAATATACTGACCTTATACATTAGGCTCCTTCCCAGCTCTTGCTCAGACCCCCCCCCCTTGTGGCGTGAGGTGTGAGGACTGGGAGCCACGCTGGTTCTGCGTGGACTGGGGCCCGGCCCAGTTTCGGCAGAGGAAGGCAACCAAGTTATAGGATATGTCAGACCTAGCGCGCCCAAGTCTTCAGGTCCATGAGCCACAGGTGGCCGTGCGAAAGAAGCCTTCCTTGCAGGCCCCGAGTGAAGTGGGAGATGAAAGAAGCCACGAGAAAGACTCTGCAGAGGCACACCCGGTGGCCTTTCTCAAGACGGGAGAGATCATTGAGGTGGGGCCCGTGGTGTGTCTTCGCACAAATCCCGAAACTCTGACTAGCCTGAGCACTATAACCCTTCACACGAACCCCAGTCCATAAGCCCAACCCTGAGTCATATGTCTGTGCGGTTTCGAACCAAAGTGATGAATGATGCCCCATGGGCATCTGTGCTGTATGTCGGCACAGTCTTGCTAAAAGGTAGGTGGTCGATGGTGGTCGTGCCCAGCAGCTGTAGTGCTTTGAGACGATGCGGAACGGTGTCCGCCGTCGCCGCGCAGAGTGGGACGTAAGCCCACCCCGCAGATACTTTACACAGGCCTTGAAAGAAACATTTGCTTCGGCTGCTCTTTGCAGGCTGCCGAAGTCTCGCAGGGCTGGGTGCGGCCGGGGGCCCTGAGTTCAGCTTACCTGGTTTAGGGTTTAGGATTTAGGACCATGATTTCCTTTTCAGTCACCCAGCGGACTCTAAAGTTCTAAAGGGGGTCGAGAAAGGCTCTTGAGTTCAGTTTTCCCATCACCTTCAATCGGGAACAAGAAGGTACAGTGGGTTTCTACAAGGTCTTACGGCGGGCAGGGCTATAGGGTTTTTTGGGCATATTGCCCAGGTTTGGCGGTGACAGGTTTCGGGACGGGTTGTTTTGTGATGAGCGAAAGCGTACCACAAGGGTGTCGGGTTTGTGGCCCAGCCTTGGCTTTGTCCTATAAAATCTGCCACACCAAGCCTCGTCCGAAACTAGAGATCCCTTGTAAATTCCCACATCCTCAAACATCGGGCCGAAAGCCTTACATTCAATAGACTCAAGAAGCTCCAAAAGCCGTATGGATCGTGAAGCCCTCCGAAGCCTGTCGCCCTGCGCAGGACAGAAGCCCTACAAGCTCGACAAGCTTTGCCTAGTAGTAGAGTAGGTAACCTTCCACTTTTTTTGGAAAGCATAGTCCCTATGTAACCCAAAAGGTTAACCTTCAGATACGCGACAAGTAGGTTTGAAGCCTTGTATCAGCACTCTCAAGACCAAAGGCCCCCTGTGCTTTTTATGGGCTCGAACTACTGGAAACCCTGGTAAAGCCCACACGCCTATCCATCCAACTAATCTATATCTATATCTGTATTTGTCTTTATCTATACAGTATATAGTATATAGGCTCACAATACACGACTATGAGCCCAGTAAGTGCTTTGACTCAACCCTAAACCCTGATCTCTCAACCCTACACCCGTTTTCAGGCTCTCGGACGCCGACCGAAAGAGGCTCGACGTCTCGGAAGACTGTGGTGCCTGGGTTCGGAGCCCCGGCGAGGTTGCAGGATCTTTAGAGGGTTTGGGGTTAGGGCTCCAGGTTTGAGTGCTTCGTGCGGTATGAAGGGTCCTACAATTTTGCAGGTCTTTCGGTAGGGCTCGAGGGGGGGGACGTGGGGCTAGCAGTACATAGAGGCTTTTTCTAGCGATCTAGAGGGCTTGCACAGGGGTCGTTTGCACAAAAACAAACACCGTCGGATGTTGGGGTCAAAAGCAGGTACCTCTGGGATTCAGGAGTACGATCCCGAGCGCACTAGTTGTAATCATGGCAGCGCCTCAGACACGGGTTGGGGATTTGGGATTTGTGGGGTTTCGGCGATAGGCTGTCGAGAAGTCCTATTGCATAGACTTGGAGTGGGCCTTTGTCCCTGAGCAACGACATATGGCATCTCGGCACATGGTCCAACACAGGAGTGTATGACTAAATGATTCAGTTGATCATGGTCTAAGTCGCCGCAGGACCTACAGAGTTGTACGGACATGGCTCTTTAGACTTCCGCCCATGGCTGAAGCTGCAGACCAGGTGTAGATGCCGGAGGAGAAGACAAATCACGAGCAACACCCATGCCAAAGCGGAGCCCTACTGTAGGTCCTGATCAACGGTCACGAGAAGGGCCTCGGGCGCTTGCTCGCTGCCTCTCCTCCGCCAGTCCCCGAGCATTTCTGCGTTACGCTGAGCATCGGCTTTTTCCGAGGGTCTTAGTCGAGATCAGCTTCCGGCTGCATCTGGCAAGAGCTGGTGAGACGAATCAGGAGATGGAAGGCTTCGGTTCTCGGTGATTTTCAACAGCTCTGCTTAGAATCGCTGTCGCCGCACAGCACAGCATCTATAAGGCCGCCGGAGCAGCTGGCGCCACTGGAGGAAGCCTAGGTTCCATTTTAGGAGCTTCCGCAGTGCAGAGGTGGGGGAAAATTGCGCTTGCGCCCTGAATCTCAACTGGCTCAGACTTGTCCTGCCTGTAGTAGTAGGCTTATGGGCTTTGCAGGGCTTTGAAAGCTCGTTTAGGGCTCGTCGGCTCGTCTCTTGACTGCACCACCTCCCTGCGCAGCCGACTGGCTTCAGACGGAGAGTTCCATGGCGTCGATGTCGGCAGAAGAGGATGCGCCCGAAAGCCCCGATGCCGAGGTCAGATGTGGCTGAAGAGTGATGTTAGGCGATGCTTGCCCTCGCCCTGCCTGAACCATCATAAGCCCAAGCCGAACAAGAAAAGGAACCTGCATTTCGATAGAATCCGATAGAAGCTCTAGAAACCAGAGGCCCCAAACCCTTGCAGCCGCCTCCTTGGCAATTCAACGCTGGGAGGACTGGCAGCCGGTCCTGTCCTTTGACGAAGCCTTTGGAGACGAGACTGGGGACAATGCGACTTGTTTTCAGGTCATATAGATGGTTCTGGACTGCCTTAGATAGGGGCTGTAGGGGGTTTAGAGGGGTCTATAGGGTCTTTATCATTGTAGACGGTATTAGACTGTTGGAGATAAGGGGTCTGGGGGGTTTAGAGGGTTCGATAGGGTGTTTATGATTGTTTCGGGGGCCTACTCGCAGTCTTAGTGATGCTGATCTCGGTTATCATACTATTGCCACTGGTCTTGGGATCATCAGTACAGGTTTTCATGATGCGTGAACCTGTCTATATCCATGCTGCGAAAAGGAACTGCTTGATGTGCAGGGGAGTCGATGGCTTCATTTCTGTTGAACGAAATTGCAAGGGGCATGTTGCAATGTATGTAGGTCAATGTAGGTGGTGAAATCCCGAGCTCAAGATATGTTAGGCTTGGATTGCGGAATCGACTCCGGGGTCGGAGGGGCTTGGCTTAGGGATTCGACTGCGAGAAACGCAAAACGGCCGTCCTGGTCCCCAGAGGACCCATCAGCTGAAGCCCTAAATCCTCGACCCGAACCAGTACCTACACTCCGCATGAGAACTCACCATGAGCTTCCTGGATGAAGGCGAAGCCTTCCGTGTCCTCTCGGCGGAAACAGCGGCGTGCAGAGCGCGCGAGCATCCGCCGCCCGTCTCAATCCCATGGTGGAGTGAGTTGCCATGAAAAGCCTTGCAGAACCCTGTGAACCTTATAACTTATAACCTTTTGCAAAACTCTATAACACCAACATAGTATCGACTAGTGGTTTTGTGTCGCAATTGGGATTGTAAGAGTCGGTGTAGGGGATCCATGACGATTTAGATCAGGTTTGAGGTTTGGGGTCAAGGGGTGTCAAGGGTCCACTGTGCCCTAAACGCCCCAAGACACCCCAATCTCCAACCCTGCACCGGAAAGCTTGAACCTTGCTTATAATTGGGCAGACGGAGAGGGGCCCTTAAAATCAAAAGCTTGAACCGCATACTCCAAACTGTGTCCGACACCAGGCTCCGCCCATGATCGGGCAGGCACCCGAGAGCTCAGAGCCGTCTTCCAGGTCCTGCAGGCCCTGCTTTGAAGCGTCGTTTGCCTGCGATCAGATGAGCAAGCTTGCTTTCTACTCGAATGTTAATGTAAATTTAGTGTTGGTGTGTATAACATATGTAGTATATATTTACATATACCATGTAAATATACACATATATATATATATGTATAGAGATATTACCATTAGTCAAGTTTGATGATGATCACGGTCCCTACTCAGCATGAGTGAGATTTGTTCTAGATTGATGCTCAGTTTCAAATTTAAACTGCTTTTGTATAGTTGGTTCTTTCAGCAAAAGCGAGAATCCCGAGCTGCAAATTCCTGCCGCTTGCTCACTGATGCGATGCCCGTCCCCAAGAGAATGCTCAATCCTGAACCCTCAAAATCTTCAACCCTGAACCCTGAAACCCTAAAGCATCCCAAACCCTAAACCATATGAGCACTAACAGTAACACCATATTCTCATGAAGACTCAAAGCCCCAGACCATAAATCCCAATTTTGCCATGGGCCCGTAAACCCTTAACCCTAAACCCTAAGCCCTAAAGCCCTAAACCCTAAAAGGCCTTGCCGGCAGCTCTCCCGGGCTTGGGCCTGAACGGTGCCAGGCCCGGTAGGGGTACAACAAGGGCATTATATGGGGACCCAATGGGATACACTTAAGGGCACTGTAAGGGTCCTGTAAGATGTACTGTAAGTTTACTATCAAGGGTTGTACAATGGGTAGATTGAATTTGAGGATTTTGTGGTTGCATGGTTTGTTCTGTACAGTTAGAGGGATGATAAAAAACCCGGCTATCGGGGTTTAGATGAAAGCGTCTTTAAGTCAAGAACATTGCCTATTCCTTGTAAAACGATAAGAGTAAAAAAGAACGATTACCGAGATTTTTAGAACACGCAGTCCAATTGCCTGTAAAACGATAAGAGTGGCAAAAGGCGCATGAAGTAGATCACACAGACCCCAAGTCCTGTAAAACGAGAAGAGTAAAATAAAACGATAACCATGTTAAGGGTCATGTAAATGATGGGGGTTATTCACGCAACCTCGGTTGGGGCTTCTGTGGGCTGCTCCTGTCTCAACCGCCACATCAGTATCACAGGCATAGCAAGTATGCCGTAGGATATCGGATAGGGGCAAAATACTCGTACCACTAGTGATGCCTTGCATTCTCGGTGGGAGAGGTCAGCTCTTGGAAGAGAAGGGGGCTACAGTGTCTTTGCCTTCGCAGAGCCGGAAGCCGACGATGCCACAGCTTCCGAGCTGCCGGCACCCAAGAAGCCGAAGGGCCGCAAGCACGCGCCCGAGGCGGCGGAGGTCGAAGCCATGCTGGAAGAAGCGGCGGCCGTCCTGCGCACGGATTGCCCCTATGGTACACTCCCCGAAGTCTTTGCACCACCCGAGGGCCTTGCCATCCTGTCTGCAATGATCGACCGTCCACCGAAGTACCAGGAAAAGTACCTCGGCCAGGAGTGGTCCATCTTGACAAAGGTGTGGGCACTCGCCGGATCTCCTACAGGAGACGAAGGAAAGGACATAGCTGTGGTGGACATCGGCGCCGGGAATGGGAGCCTGGCTTTGCTGGCAGCGCTGCTGCTCGGCGGCCACGCTGTGCTCGTGGATCACACACTGCCTCCGGAGCCGCTTCGCGTCGAGGGCCGGCTCCCGGCAGACTATCGGCAGCTGGGGTCTTGTTAAAGGATCTAGTTTAAGTTACTATCTTAATTGGGATCTATAGTAAAAAATTATGGTTTCCTCATGACATGATGGTACCTTTAACTAAATCCCCTAGCAAGAACCCAGGCAGCGGATCCTCCGCGTCACCGGGGATGTGGGGGATCTGGATGCACAGGAGGCCCTAGAGCCCCTGCTGGCCAAGCATGGCCTTGGCAGAGTGGTGGTGATCGCCAAGCACCTCTGTGGTGTGGGAACGGACCTGGCTCTGAAGTTACTCCGGCGCTGGCGTCGCGATGGCCTGACATCGGAAGCACACCACGCAGAGGTCCTGGGAGCAGTGATTGCAACGTGCTGCGGCCACAAAATCGGTGCGGAGGATGCGAGGATCTATCGCGAGATCCACTCGGAGGATCCCTACTTATCCCGGATCACAGGCCGCGAAAGCGAGAGCTCCGCAAACGGCACGGCGGAGGGAGCCAGGCTGGAGACCTTCCTTGGCATCTGCACGCGCTGCGTCGCCTGGCGCACCACCGCCGGAGCAAACGCTAATCGAATCACTGTGAGGCAAGTCAAAGCAGCCGAGCTCTTCGAGGATGCACTGCAAGAGCCCCGAAACTCGGAGGAAAAAGTATGGAAGTTTTAGAGTAAGAGTCACATATCACATATCATCGGCGGAGCTTCCTGCTCTTGATGTGGGAGTTTCCGAAAATTAGGGGTACCTTATTTTGGGGTCCTTATAATAGGATCCTAATTTAGGGTACTATATTAGGGTCCCCTGTTTTCAAAAACTCCTATGTGCTGCAGGACTGAACCTGCTGCGGAGCCTCTTTCCTGCAGCGACAGAGGTGGCCTTCGTCTCCGCGAAGCAGTCGCCTCAAAACCGCTGTCTGCTCGCTGGCTCTCGACAAGGCCTTGACACGGCTCTGGCCCGGGTCCCAGTGCGGTCATAATATTAATGATAATGGCAATATCAATATAAATAAATATTAGTCATAATACGAATAATACTAATACTAATAAAAATGAAGGATTATAATAAGAATGCTAGTAACAATATGGTCCCAGAGCGGGCTGTAAAGGAAGCGGTTTCCCTGATCCGCCCAGGCCACGGCATCCGACTTCGAAACGCAGGAGAAGGTGCTCTCCACGCTGATGCGAGCACGGCAGGGTCCTGAGCCTGTCGGGACCTCTCCCTGCCTTTCCCTAAACCCTAAACCCCTAAACCCTAAACCTTAAACCGTGGATTTGTCTTGTTCATCTAGGCTTTCAAGACTCTAGACATGCGGGTGCTCCTTCTGCCAGGGATGCGCTGCTCTCGGCGTGTGGAGGTGCTCTGGACCTGCGGCCGCATGGGCTCGTGTCGACCAGGCCGGGCTACGGAACGCTGCGCACAGAAGCTCTGCAAGAAAGTTAAGCCGCATGCCTCGCACCTGGAGTTACCATTTTTGGTCAGCACTCCACGCAGGTTCGACTATGATGGAACCTGATGACCGGCCAAAAGCGGGGCCACCACATCCCTGCAGCGACTGCTGATGTAAGTGGGTGCGAAGCCCGTTCTGCCACAGGTTGCAATATTACGACGCGAGGCTTCTTTCAGCAACATCCCAGTCTGGGTCACGCTGAGACTTTGCGAATGTGGTTGGATCGTGCCAGAGCCGGACAAAGGCTCCATCATCAAGTTCACCCCCGTGGTTCCTGTGCCAGCTGCAGCATATGCCTCGGAGTCCACGAATCCCTCCTGACGTGCTTTTTGATCTTCTCTTGCTGCTTGCCTCATTGCGCCCATGGACAGTGGGCGACGAGTGGGTTCAAGAAGATCAGCGTGTATCGCTTCCATCCAGATTCAGCAAATCCCGATTATGTGCACACGGGCGCTGGGTGAAAGCACAATGATGAGAAGCCATGCTTCCACGAAGGTGAGCTGATTGCAGACCGTGCGTTGACGGGAGCAACGACTTTACTTCCGAACCAGACAGGCAGGGTTTGCAGGAACGGAGCGAAAAGGTGGCCGGAAAGAGAGTTGTCTCCTTCAGGCATGTCCCTGCAATCGAATAAGTGCATGTGGCAGTAAAAGCAGAGCTACAGTAGAATCAGTAGAAGTTCAATGGCAAGATTGACCGTTATTTTGGTAAGATTGAGAACTCAAGGATCTGCAACACCAGCTTTCTGTTAACGACCGGCCCATGCGGTGGCAGGGCTTGCAGCAGAGTCCTCCTTGAGCTCTTGTCAACCCTGCTGTCAGTCGGGACACGGAGAGGATAGATACAAATTTGTTCGCAAACAGACTATGTATACTCTAGATCACAAGGAGATAGGAAGCCCACTTTGGAGGCAGAGATCACCTTCACATGCAGCCTCTGTGGCTCGAGCTTTGTTACTAATGCCAAAGGGCAGCTTCAAGGGGGAGGGCCGTGGCCGGCGTCGTGGTTCGGCTTCTGCAAGGCCACGTGGGGCAGCCCCGCGGCAGCTCGTGCCGGGTCGCGGAAGCGGAAGCGCCGCGAGGAGCCAAAGCCAAAGCAGGCCGAGTCCGCCAAGTCCACGGCCAGGATGGGACGAGGACACCCGCGCTCCGAACTTATTCGACACCCGCTTGCGGAGGCACATCTTCCAGCCGTACAGCCGTGCCGCTGTGGAGAGCGTCATCACCGGACCGCGGCCTCGAAGAGCTCCGCCAGCTCGTGCCGTGCCCGCTGCAGCTTTCCACCACAAGCCGGGGCAGCTGCGCCGGCGTATTCAGGTCCCCCAGCCACCGAAGCCTCCAAAGCCTGTGGAGCTCAGTCGGACGGAAGAGGCCAAGAACCTTGAGCCTGAGCTTCAAGAGCTTGCTGCCAAAAGCGTTTTTGGCAGTATCCCATCAGAGGCCTCAGAGCCTTTAGCCTGGCCGAAACCCTTTCAGACGGCCATGGTGTCGACGATGCCAGAGCAGCTTCAGGTCACGCACATGCAGAGAAGGCGTGCCATGGCCAGTCTCGGTGAGAAGCTGGCCATCCTCTTGCCGGATGGACGATCCGAGAGCGGCGCTGGATCGCTTCTGATCGTGCCGCCTGTTCCGGCCGCACGGCCACCTTTGCAGCCGGAACGGCCCGAACATCGGGAGATTCTGCAGACTCAGACTCAGGATGCTCAGCTGGAGATCGTTCGTCGGCAACAAGGCATCAAGTTGGTAGATGCCCCCATCCCTGCCAAAGTACAGAGCTTGTCCCAGAAGCTGTCGGCCCTGCTTGGGCCACCTGCACCCCAGCACTGCGACTCGCCAGAGCGGCGGCGAGCCACAGAGCCTAGTCAACTTCTCCGGTGCCTTGCTTGATTCATGGCTCGCTTTGTTCATTCGTGTTCTCTCTCTGTCTCTCTGTTTCTCTCTCTGGCTCCTTCTCCTTCTCGCCAAGGCAAAACGCTGCGGAGGTTGTTCGCAAGGCCGGGCCGTGCCGTGCAGAGATGGGCCGAGTGTTATAGCCGGTGAACTTCACTCCTCTGCCTGCGTGGTCTGAAGATGCAGGTTGACCTGCTGACAGATGGAGTTTTGGAGCATCTCCTTGGAAGCTCGGCAGATGTTCATCCGGTCGAAGGGCTCATGCTGTCATGGAACCTCGGAGATCCCAGGAGATGCCGTCAGCCGGCTGGATGCTCTGCCAGAGAAGCGCCGTCAACAGCACAAAACGTGTGGCGGCCCCAGTCGTTTTTCACTGTCTCTTTGCAGTCCGAAAGCAACCTCTACGATGCGAGGCTATGCGCCTGCAGAAGCTTGTCGGCCACAGCGAGACGAGCAAGAGGACAGGCAGCTGCAAGACCCAAGGAGAGAAAGCTTGGGGAAGCTCGTGCGGGAACCTAGACGGCCTGTGCCTGTGCCTGTTCCAGCCACCACCATGTTGTCGGCTGAATCGTACGCATGGGATGAGCCCGCTCAGGTGCAGAATGCTGAAGACCGGTTGGAGATGTTGGAGCAAGAGCTCAAAATGACGTACCTCCACCGCCAGGACCTCGCTGCTTTCTTTCTTATCAAAGAGCACCTGCTCCTTCAAGGCCCAAGGTAGCATAAGCATGTGAAAGGAATCTTGGAAAGGTTTGGCAAAGACAGCCTAATTCTCGGAACTCGCAGTTGATGCGCAGCGGCACATGCCTGCTTGTACGGTGCAGCCTTGGAGGAGTCGACCTCTACGACAGGCGCCACACAGGATCGGCGGGTATTGTCAGAAAGTTCTGCTTGGGCCGACCTGGCCGAAAGAATTGCTTGTAGGCAGAGTCACCACGGCAGAGTCACTACGCTTCCATGGTGCGCAGAGAATTTCGCAACAGAGAGATCGCCTGCGTGGCAGTTTCGGTTCTCTCGACTGCCCGCTGTGGGCGGCGAGACTGTGTATAGGAACGGAAACGGAGTTTGTAAGCAAAGACGTCATCTTCATGCAACTTAGCGCACTTAGCGCTTCGTGCACATGTCTCCTACATCAGGCAAAGAGAGCTGTGGGCGACCTGTTTCGGGTACCGAACGCAGTCAACTGCCATCGACATGTCTGTGTGATGATTGTTTTCAGTAAGTAATTAGTGACATTCACTTTGTAACCAGGTCTTCGCAGCAGGCCATGGCAAGCGATGACGAGCCACTGTCTGAACTTGCGAACAGGCTCCAAGGACAAAAGCGTCCTTGCACAAGAGAGGCAGCCGAAGCTCCACCTGCCAAATGCGAGAAGTCCTCCAAGGTTCTGATGAACGCGAATGTTATGGGGAAGCACATCTTACCGCTGCTCCCGCCACGCACGTTGCTTGCCGCAGCGATCTGCTCGCAAGAAGTGACGGCGAAACTTTCTCGTGAAACGGTTGTTCGAAGTGTCATGATCGGTGGCGGGGAGCATGGAAAGACAACCCTCCGCTCAATTCTGGAATTGGTGTGTGGTCAGAAGGCATTCCCTGACTCTTGGTCACCGTATGGTGAAGCATCTGGGGGCCGCATCTGGATTCCCAGCCCGCTTAGGCTGCTTCGTCTGTGCCTTGGGCGAACCTGCGAGATGCCACATTGCAGTCAGAAAGTCAACCACATTCGCCCAGAATGGGGCCTCTTCGCTTGCTGGACGTGCACACGCAACTACACCCTCGAGGTAAAGAGTGCAAAGCAGAGGAGCTGCTACAGTCCCGCCTTAAGGCACCCACGGACATGCCGTTCAAACGGAAAGTTTCTGTGGAAACAGAGCTTGGTCAAGGGAAGTGAGCGAGTTGGCCCGATAGTGACCGTTGACTGTCTAGACAGCAAAACTAAAACCCTCGACGATGTTCTTGCAGAGTCCTCGGCTGCGGCCGCAGATGCTCCAGAGGCTCAGCAGCTGCTGGAGGCCTTCCTGCCGGCAGCCGCCAGGGCTCGGCAGCTTGAAGAATCCGCTTTCGAGAGCAAGCAAGACCGGAAGGGCGCCAAGGCCGCTAGGGCCGCTGAAGTCCTGGATGATATCTCCGCCCGCCTCAAGACCACGCCGTGGCAGCATCTAATGTCAGCACAGGAGGTCAGCCCGATCATTCAGCCATACCTGAAAGCTCCGTCCAAATACAAGAAGAAGCAGGCTTCTGTAGTGGAACAAGAGATCCGTAAGTTGTTTTCGGGCGTGGATCAGTCGGTCTTGGACTTGCGATTCTGCAATGACTCGGTCTTCGGTCAAGCTCTACAAGCAGAGGCAGAGGCCATGGGCCCGAAACTCTTCACGAAGGCTCCGCGAAGCTTCTTCGATCTCCTGTCGCGGTCTCTGAAGACCGAAGCACTGCTGCAAAGGTGCAGCGTCGAAAAGGTCTTTGCAAAGGCGGTGGCTGCTCAGCTGCCTGCCATGCAGCACTCTGACTCAGCACTTGCCGAGGACTTCGCTGCGCAGTATTTCAGAAGAGCCTCTTTGTGCACAGAAGGCAACCGTCCGTCTAGGATTTGCGCCAGAACCCCAGAGCCACCGGAAACATTGACAAGCCGATGCACAGAACTCGAGCGAGTGTTTCCGGAGATGCTGGAGGGTTACAAGAGAATCAGGGGCGCAGCGATGCGCTACTGCGAGTGGGCAGCCACACAAGGGACAGCAGTGCCGAGCCCAGCAGTCTGTGGGACCATTTTCACTTCAACCTCCGGTGGCAGTGGACGTGGCATCACTGTCCCTCCAACGCGGCCAGCTGCGTATTTAGGCGAGCTTGAAAACGGGAGTGTTGAGGCTTTTCAAAGGATTGCAGCGCAGCAGCTAGAAGTCGATGACAGGGAAAGGACAGCCTGTCTGGATGAGGACAGCCTGCTCCTGTGCCCCTCAGGGTTTGTGCGAGCCGGCGACTTGCGCGCTGGGGACGTGGTCCACACTGGCACAGGTCCTGCCAAGATTGCCTGTGTGACTTGGGGCAGGGAGCACGGTGAGATGTGCAAGATAAGCGGAGTGTGGGTCACGCCGAAGCATCCGGTTCGCACTGGCGCTGCCTGGTTTCTCCCTCAAGACGTGGCGCGGCGCGAACAGCACGGCTGCGGTGTCGTCAATTTCGTACTGGAGCGTGGCCACTCTGTGCTTGTCAAGGCCGGACAGGGCATCTTGGAAGCCGCGACGCTAGGCCATCAGCAGCGCGACGCTGCAGCTGCCGTACAGGAGGGCCGATTTGGCAGCAGGGCTTACGTGGACTTCCTCAGACGGCAGCCTGACTTTCCGCATGTTTTTCTGCCAAAGAAGTGTGACGCTTACCCACAGAAGGTTTGGCTGTCCACGTGAGGGGAACTCCCGAGAAGGAGCCGCTCGTTCGAACCGCGGGCGGATTTCTCTGATGCTCCGTCGGCGGATGACGACTCGCTGTGGGTCGCTTCCGCCGGCGGAACGGCCGGAACGGTCGTTGACTGCTCGCTGTGGGCGGCTTCGACCGAGGACACAAAGAAATCTGCTTACGGTTCTGATGATGCCCCCTGTTAACTGTCGGACAGGACGACCTTTCGAGGCAGCATCACGAGTAACGACCTGGTCACTGCCATACGTTGTGGCGTGAGCGAAGCTTTCTGTGAGGGTGTGAAGAACTTCGCACAGCTTGTCTTCAACACGGCCAAATACGTCGTGGTGTACATGCCGACGGATGACGAGCGCTTCGCGAGAAGTCCGGGAATCTTTGCCCGTGTGCGCAAGCGGTCGACTGCCCGGTGTGGGCACAGACCCAGGGGTTGCGCAATGAGCATCGAACCAAAAAACATGTTGTGGACCCAGTTCCATCCCGTGTTTGAAATCTCGATTAGATCTGCGAGTGGATAAACGAAAGCAGCTAGTCATGCACAATCGCTGGCGTGCCCCATCCGGTTGAATGGAGTATCCTGTTGTAAACAGCATGTCCGGTGAAGCTCGCACAATTTGTCTCCAACACATCTTTCGTTGAACCGTTCTGGTAAACCTCGCACAGCTTGTCTCCAACACATCTTTCTCTGATCCGGTCTGGTGAACATGGGGCGATGCTCAGACTCTGCTTGTATTTACGTTTTGTCGCTCGTGCTCTTGCAAAGGCACAGCTTGAAGAGCAGGTGCAAGATGTGCTTCTTCTCTCACTTGCATTAAACTTGAGCTTGAGCTCACTCCATTGCAACAGCTTGACCACCTTTCGTTTGGCCACAGTGCAGCAGAGTGCATTGTGCAGAAGTGTCCAGTTGTTCCAGAACTACTTGGCAGCGGTTGCAGGAAGTTCGCCGTTTGCATGCGAGCTCCCAACTAGCGCCGGAAGAGGAGGAAGAGGTGGGCTACAGGGTATGCAGCTCCTGCGAATTGTGATCAGTGGCGACGATTCACTTCACTTGCTGACATGGCGAACTCAATCACCTTTTGAGATACATGAGAGATCACAAACCCCGAGACATAATGCACAATTTCCGTCAGCCATGCGGTCGCAGGGCTGGAGATTCGCTTCACTGCCAGCAGCGCGGATCCATGAGCTGGAACGCTATCGCGACTCGATTCCGAGTTACACCCTGAAGCCGAGAGTTTCTGCGCGCCGATGCCATGTTCGGGCCCACAAGGTGTAGCTTTTTGCGGTGCCGAGGTGCTCGCTTTGCGAGGCACTGCCTGGCAGCCCGGGAGGTGCGAAGACGCTGGCAATGACAGTGGCGATGATTGATAATCTGTATGTGTGTATATATATATGTATATAATATGTATTTACACATACATATAAACATAGACAGCAAGGTGTGCGTATATATATATATATATATATATATGTATATGTATATGTATGTGTATGTATATATAGATAGATGGATGGATGGATAGATAGAAAGATTATAGAGTCATAGTGCAGGTGCAGGCTCCAGTGATAATTGGGATGAATGCCTTGGTAGATGCAGAGATCCAGAAGTCATCGTCAGTCATCGTACATATGTTAGTCTTGAGCCATGTCTCTATAGACTTTAGACATTAGGGTTTAGGGTTTCGGGTTTATGGTATAGTGTAGTGTCTATAGATATATACAGAGGAACGGTCACGATCCTTGACCGGCCTGACCCTGAGGGGGTCGCGCTGTCAGGCAGGGATCCAAAGTGGTCCTGGGGCTCGGACTGCCACCTGGGCCTGACGCTCAGATGGCACTTTGACAGTCGCTCGGGCTCCTCGGAGGATGGAGTCGTAGTCGAGATAAGATCGAATCGAAATCCTCTAAGGTTATTTGGCCATTTCTTGCCGACAGCATCGCCATGGCTGCGGTGGAGGCCGCCATTGAGGAGGTGGATGCTGCCATGGAGGGTTACGTTGCCCGGCGCTTTGGAGCCTTCCGTGTTCTAGTCTTAGCCCTTCCGCCCGACAGAAGCTGGCTGCATCTGGCCGTTACTAATGTCTGGCCAGGCATCATCCCCCATGATTTCCAGATCGCACCGCATAGTGGCACACGGTTATACGGTGGAGTCTATCGTGCACGTAGTAGGCGCCAATGCAATCGGAGACTTGCCTTCGTGAGGTTAGTGGCTTGATGGAGCAGGAAATTGGGGAACGCGAGGATGACGACATAGCCACTGCGCCTGTGTAGCGAAAAGAGGTACTCGAGTGATTCGATTGCAGTTTCTATCGTTGAATAACTTCGTTGAATCTATCAGGCTGACCGGTGGTACAGCATCGCCCTCCAGCCCCGAGCAGACTCGGTTCGAGCATTTAGTCTGATACGCACAGAGGGACACTTCATCCTCCACATTCTTGGTGGGCTGTTAAGTTTTCACGACTGTCGAAACCGCGTGCTTTGGAGCCTCAGCTTACCCAAACTATCACATGAGGTGCTTGGAGCTTAGATGGTTTTGAGTCATTCCACCAATACTTGCCTGCCTGCCGTCGCACTCCGCCATGCCGGCTGGAGCGCTGAAGGCTGCTCTGGATTCCAGTTTCTTAGTCGCCAGTTCTGCCACTTGGCAGCCTTCATCTGCGAATCAAGTGAACTGATGTGCACGCTTGCAGTAGCAGCCGCATTTGAGGGCGCCGAGCTGAGATCCAGTGTGGGCAGCCGACTCCTGAGCTGTCGACTGTGCCGTTCGCGAGTTCTCGGGATCCTGTGTCGTTCAATCTGAGGCCCCTTTGACGTGAGCGATGCAGATCCTGTCCAGGAGAGTGTCTCTCGACCTTCCACGCAAGTTTCGAAGATGTACAAGCGCGCCGCAGCAGCCGTGTACCTCGCAACGATGTTTCTATAGTCGTCAACACAGCATGAAGATAACAACCTACCGTTGGCCCTGTGGGTTTCACGTCTCGTGCTTCGGCTAGCATCCTCGAGCAGAAAGACACGCCGTGCAGGACTTCTCGGCATGGCTGCAGCGAAACCTGGCTGCCTAAAGTTCCGTCATCATGACTCCTGAAAGTCCGACCGGTAGTCGTCATCGGAAACAATAAATGAAAAGCTTGATTTATTGAGGGGTGTTGGAGCTGCGTTGAGGGTTGATCGTGGAGCTGTGGCGTGCACCAAGGACTGGGTGGAGCAGTGAAGCAGGTCGGGCACCAGGGTATCTATACGTCCTGAACCGTGAAAGTCTTTTCAGGCTGAACCCTAAGAAGGGAAGATCCAAACTTGTCTGCAAGAGTGGTGGTGTTCTCTGCCTTTGTATTCCGAACCCTTGAAGAGCCTCGATCAAGCAGGGCTAGGCTTGCGATAGAAAGTAGCAGCATTCAGATTGGATGCTCATATGCAAAGACATAGCATGACAGATGCTGTGACCTGTGCTGCCCTGCAGACCATCCTGGACATCGCCTCAGTTTCGCGTTTTGCGACGCCTTCCTGGGAGCACAGCAAGGCCGGGAGCTTGGCGTTTGCCGCCGAAGCTGTGAGGACTGGGTGCACTTCCCGCTGCCAAGCGGCCTCGACAAGGTCTTCGGCGGAAACCTTAGTCACCTTTGCATGTCCCAACTCCCAACAATCAATAGGCAGATGTGCTCTGGACATGATCAAAAACCGGATTCGAGGCCACAATCACGCTGGAGCCGAAGATGAGGGAGAGGCAAGTCCACAAGAAAAGGACACTGAAACCACGTTTCAGTCGATGCGAACGCCTCTTTATAGAGGCGGCTCGGCTCGGTGCGGGGCCACACCCACCAGGGATGTCGGGGCCATTTCCGCCTCGCCCGTCCGGAATCCATGCGTCACGGCCTCTTCACGGCCACTCCTTGCTGCCCGGCTCTGCCCTTAAAAGCAGCGGACAGGTGGCACCCGACTGCCAGGAACGCTCTTTACAGCGAGGCCTGGCAGAGCAGAACGAACAGCTGCAACAGCGTCGCGTCTGACTTGGTATTCTGCCTGGTGCTGCCTGGCAGGTCAACAACCCGAATCAACCCGAACCCCCGCCGAACTGGCCCAGGGGGGTCACCTGGCCTGCACGCCCTCCAGACTGGTTTGCACCGTGAGACCTAGTAAGAAACGCATGCGAGAAGCTGTGGCAGGTGCCGTTGTCGATAGGAATGGCAAGTGGTGGCCGCCACCGGGTTGGGCGAATGGGGTCCTTCCCACAGATGTCCGTTTATGTTTTGGTGCACTTCCTGCCCCCACGAGATGTGAAAGCCTTTGAGACCTTGGCCCAGGTTGGCGCAGAGAACGGCTGTGCATGGGCCCCATGATCTCCCTCCAGTATTGTGTCGCCACCGCACTGTAGTGCATTCCGCGCCCTCAAATCCGCACACTGTGTCAAGGGGCCGGCAAGATGGATTTACAGCTGCGGGTGGCGCAATCGTGACGACTGGGCGGCTTGATCTTCCAATTGAATACAGAACGCACGGCATTTGCTAGGCGAGACGACATGCCCTGTTCGACTCCTTGATTTAAGAAGTAATTGGCTGCTTACTGTCAGTCTTTCAGCGGTTCTCTGGCAAGCCCTTCATGCAGCTCCCTGTGTCTGCTCCGAGGGCAAAGATGCAACTTCAGTTTGGTACGATGCAGCCCACCAGCTGGCAGGCCGAGTGTACTCTTTGAAAGCGAGAGCCGCTCTTCAGTTACAAGTAGTGATGGTTGTTTGGAGCAAACGATGGGCCATACTCTGCAACACACAGACACCCCAAAATGGTAGCCTCGCCATTCTACGCCTGTTCTGCCAGAAGCGGGCAACAACCCCCGCCGTCTTCTTGCCAAAGAAGCACGAGAAGCTTGCCTGAGAGTTTTGGAGCTCGAGGCCTTGAGGCAACTTCAGCTTTTCCGGTGGTGGGGGCACTTTTTCTCGGCCTCTCATCCCATCCTTAGAGAATCGATCCCGATTCTTTCTGTCGGCGGGCACGGCCTCCCGATTCGGGGCTGGAAGCTGTAAGTTGACGAGAAGAGCCCGAGGCCTAGGCAGAGGGGTCCGAGCCTGAGCGCTAGAGACGGAGTCCTGACTTGGCGACCTGCGCTCAGGAAGACGCTGCGTACCTGGACAGCTGGCGGTGGTTCAAGCGGTCTTGAATGGCTTTAATCTTTATGGTGTTGTCATCGTTTTGTTGATTCCGGCCTGAGCGGCATGGAAGCTGACGGTAGTGATGGTGAGAACGAGGATGACCAGGCCAGTGGTACCTTTCGGACCTGGGGCATGGGTGGTGTTGCTGGTGGTGAATTTGGTCGTGATGGACGAACAGGTTCAGGACCCAGTGGGTGCACCCGACCACCCGTGATGTGATATGTGTGCCCCTAGGGACCTCCCACATGCAGGCTCGTGATGATAGTGCAATTATAGTATCGTTAGCATTAGTACTCTTCGTAATCTTGAACTGCAGTGGTCGCTAGAAGTTGCGCCATGTGCAGCCTATCAAGGCCGACTCGGAACCTCAGATCGGAAAGTTTCTCTGCGGCCTACCTTTCTGTTCTTCTTCCGAACATTCTGACTGTAACTACTCTAACTGCTAGTCATCCTCTTCGCACAGACTTCCTCTTCGGTCGTCGCCTTGTCTGTATTTACGAGCAATACGAGCATCAACAGCTTTCTTGCAGCCCCTTGTTTATGTTTGTCTTTCTGCAGGATCGGCTTCGCGGCTTTCGCAGCGGCCGCCAGGGCCCACCAGAGCCTCCGCGCGCTGCGCAGGTCTCAGGGTCATGGGCTTCCCATCTAGGCAATGAGAATCTGACAGCAGCCGCCGTCACTACCATAAAAGGCTTCAGGGTTCAGGCCTTTGGGAGCTTCAGCAGTTTGCAGAGCTTCCAAGCAACCTTGCAATCGCACTGCTCATCTAATGAGTGCAAGTAGATCAGGGACAACATGCAATCATTCCACGTGGACAGATCTTCTCGGAGATTTTGCCGCAGGTGGTGGAAATCGACGACGGACCTGTACCTCGGCTGCCCAGATTCGGTTTCAACTTCGGCATGCTTCCACCAGCGCAGCATGCAACTCAGTTGTCGTCAACTGCCGCCAAGCAGTTCAGCATGGTGGAAATTGTCGAGCAGGAGGCCGGGAGAGTGAAAGATTTGCTTCTTGCAGGTGAGGTTAAGCGGACGATTTGCTACGTCCGTCCCTGCCAGGGCGGCAGTGCAGCAGCGACAGCTGAGGAGCAAGCTACCGACACAATCCTGGACCTGCAGAAGAGTCAGTGAAAAGAAGGGCCTCTCCGGTGTCTAAAGACTATGGAAGATACACTGCAAGCTGCGAGACAGTAGTGTTCGAGGCGACTTTGCTGTTTGAACGCTGGTGACGACGCTCATTGGTCGCATGAGTTGTGCCGTCATGCGCATCATGTTTGGTCATGTGGTCTACCGGGTTCAAGAGCTTTCCAGTCAGTAGCATTGCGCGAAACCCTCACCTGCGCCTCAGCCATATTTCCTGTGAGATGTGAGGGGCACCGGCCGCATGCAACAGTCCTCTGACGTATAGCGAAGCGTTAGGTGACACTCTAATGCAGGCAGAGTAATTAACATGCTACGACAGGCGTGGTCGTCACTAGGCCTCCAAATGCACCATGTTGCCTCCGGGCAATGGCTGCACCTGTCGATGAAGAACCGCAGCAATCGCCGAGCAGCCGCACACCCAAGTTGTGTCGTCCTGCATAAGGGTTCATTTCGCAGCATGCAAATTTGTATTGTCTCTGTTCCGTTCATAGGTGCACTGTACCTGACATTGTCAAAGCACATGCATTGACTTATATGCATGTTTGCAACATGTGCAGCTACAGTTCATTTCGTGAAACACTCCTGCTGTAGTGCATGCCGTTATGTATATATACTGTGTATATATACACCTTTGGTTAGTAGGGAATGGATGAATGGAAGAATGGTAGTAGTAGTAGTAGTAGTAGTAGTAGTAGTAGTAGTAGTAGTAGTAGTAGTAGTAGTAGTAGTAGTAGTAGTTATAATTCTTGTACCCCATACTAACCAAAGGTAAGTAACGAGCCCTCCGCTTGAGGCAATGCCGACGCCAAGCCAAGGCGGCGGCCTCTTCCACTCTCGGATGAAGAGGCCAAGCCTGCAGAGTGCCGATACTATCTGGGTAGTTGTCAAAATGAGGGTCCCTTTTTGGTGCCCGAAATATTAGGTGCCGTGCTATATTAAGGACCCGAAAAGGGGCCCTAATTTTGACAACCACCCATATGTATACATTGTAGACATAATGATAGTGCTAGTGCTGATCATCGATTGTTTATGGTTACTTTAAGATGCATACTTGTAGATTTGGAATGACATGATGTGACTCATTCAGGGTTTTGTGTGCCTTTGCAAGTTGTGAGCCGCTGAATTACAGACATCAAGGTTAGGACGATAATGGTGTGTTTTGACTTGTCAGTCATGTGTATGGAAGAGTATGCCAGGCATGACATACGACTTCGCGACTTGAATTGCAAGATGGTTCCATGTCGATGCAGGAGTCGGAGGAGTCTGAGGGCGAGCCTGCAGCCGTCGCGTGCTACACTGCACGGATTGAGTTGTTGGGAGGGCTGGAAGTTTCAGCGAACATGAACTTCCGGAGGCAGAGCCAAGGCACATTGATGCCACATCGCGATGTTGAGTTAGGGTACTGCAATTTCGATTGTGCTCCTTGAGGACATATCTAAAGTCTTGTGCTCAGATGCTCTTATTTCTCCCTATGTCAGAATCAGAGCCGCCACATCTCACCGAGTTCTTCCCTTCATGTTGAAGGGTCGTAGTCCAAAAGGTTGCAAGTCCGGGTCCAAGGAATGAGCAAACCTGATCCAGGTACGCAGCCGCAAGTGGCCTTCCAGCGCGTCAGGACTTGCCATTGTTCATGCGGCTCTGGTCCGTCACCTTCCTGCGCTTCACCACAAGAACAACGAACTCGCTCATGCCGCTGCCAGCACACTTGGAATAACTTGCATGCTGGTTTCACGAGCAGCGCCGGTAGCAGCTTATTAGTCGTCGAGGGGTTGCCCCTACTGGTGTGCCGAAGCATCGCATAGCAATGTTACTCACTCCATGCATGGTGCGTGGATTTCAGGAGCTGGACAGAGGAGCTGCAAGCCTTCCGTCCGAGCCCTGGCACGGCCGGAGCTGTCGAGAGTTTTTTTCGACCGCTGCGGGAGGTGTGAGGGGTAACGGTGAGCGCTTCGTGCCTGCTGTTCTGAGGGCTTCGCTCAGCAACAAAGTGCTGCAGCTGCAAGCGATGGCACCTTGGTTCTGCAGTTCAAGTGCCTACAGGGCTATGGGAGCAGTGGTTCATGGGCTGCAAGCCACGATGAGCACTCAGGTTTCAGGAGCTTCTTTTGACCCGTGCAAGTGCGAAATAAACCATGTAATTCCCTTCTGCATCCCCAGGCCAGCAATTCCTCGGAGGCAGGAGCGGTATGTCTGCGGAGCGAGCAAAACCTCAGCTATGGGGAATCAACATAGGCACCACAACGGTAATATTTGCGAATGTCTGCCCTTCGCCGACAGGTCCTGTACGAGTCGCAGTCGCAGGAGGCGCCAGCGGCTCGTGATTCTACCGTTATTGGCGTAGGCATGTGCCGAAGCGGGAGTGAGTGCTGTAAGCCTGTCGGAAGCGGAAATGATTTCCGAAGTCAGTGGGGCCTTGGTAGAATTTCGATGTGGCTGCACAGTCCAGATTACTCGCCAGTGATTTCAAGGGCTTGAAGGAGCAACGTCGTCGTTGATTCGAGGTCTGCGGCCCTCCATGAATGCGAGTGGACTTGATAAGCACGCACCCGACCCGAATGGTCCTTTCGCATGCTTTCGCAACCCCTGGAGGTAAGCTTACAGGAAGGATGCGTCAGCCACCGGGCATCGCAGTAGCCCGTGGACTTCCTCCACCCATCGCCAGCAATTTCTACTTGTAGTTTCTTTTCTCGCATAACTACAGCAACCTAGCACCCTGAGTTTCGGCCGAACGTAGCACGTATGTGAACGGGGCAGCGGCATCTATATCACGAAGAACCTGTCTGGAAACTCCTGAGTATTGTACCACATGCTAACAGTAAAAGTTTGGGGGTCTTCGGGATATGGTTATATATCATACATTGCAATACAATCTGTTTGTCTGTCTGGCTGTCTATCTACTTATTTTTTCCTACCTACCTATCTACCTGCCTACCTGCCTACCTACCTAGCTACCTATCTCCGTGTGTCTGTGCAAATCTATGTGTATATATATATATATATGTACATACACATGTATGCACACAGACAGAATACATTGAATTCAGAAGGCACGCACCTATATAGATAGATCGACAGATAGATAGATGGATATGGAACTCTTTGACAGCTGATCCCTGGAAGGCCAGCCCACAAGCCGGCCTTCCGTCGCTTCGCAGAGGTGCCCATTTTGGGGATAGCCATCGAAACGCGGGTTCCCTCTCAACTACCTACTTCTATAGGAGCTTGGAGCTGCCCACGATCTATTGTTATATATGTATAATAGATCATCTATACATATGTATGTATGTATATATATCCTAGCGCTTCCACAGCGCACCCACGCAAATTGCTGATAGGAGCAGTATTTCGGACTGTTTTCCTGCGTCGAAAGTTAGTTGCCCCGTCGATTTCAGAAGTTTCTGAAGCGATTCTGCTTCAGGAAGCGACCCAGCATGAGGAGCAGTGCTCTCATGTTCATGTTTTATGAATGCGAGTACACCACTGATACACATATTGCAACAGCTCAGGGTTCGCACGAGGCTCGATGTCGGGAAGGCTAACAACAAGGCCAGGTGGAAGGGACTGCTGAATATATTTCCAGCTACTATCAATGGTGCCAGAATGCGCCTGCAAAGCAGGCTTCCGGCCCCGACGGTGCATTTTACGCCACACGCCTTTGCCGTGGGAGACATGGTAGTGAGGCAAACCTAGGTCGTCGGCTACAGTAGGGTACAAGCGCGCCCAATCACTCACGACCGCCTCCGTGCAGCATCTGTCGATGCAGCGAAGGCCATGGCAACTCTCCTTTGCGATTCTATATAAAGATGACTGCGACCAGATGGTCTACGCCAGCTTCGCAGAAGAGCTCAAACGCGTCCTGCAGCTCCACGGTTCCCACCACGCGCAAGCAAAGGACCATGGAAAGGCCGAGAGCCAGCCATGGCACCACCTGCTCTTGTGTCACGTCCATGGCAGAGTGGGAGTACCCTGAACCCACAACTCCAAACCCGAAGCTTTACATGAACGTCCTTGCTCGGGCAGTCTGGGAGTACCCTGCACCCGACACCCTAGACGAACCCAAAAATCCCTGGACTTGTATTCCAACCCACTCGGCAACCATCCGGTACACTTCTCGTTTTGTGCGTGTGCACCTGAGCTTGCATGTGCCATGCTAGGGCTTCGAGCTTCGAGGCCTTGAAGGGTTTGGGGTTTGGAGGCGTTTAAGGGTTGGAAGGGCTTGGGGTTTGGAGGCCTTTATGGGTTTGGGACCCTAGAGTAAGGACGTGTTTGGGGCTTAGGCTTGTCAGTGACTTCGTGGTTGTCTTGACGCGCTTCCAATATACGTAATTGCCCCCCCCCACCCCCCCCCCAACCCCCCCCAACCCCCCCAACCCCCCCCAACCCCCCCCACCCCCCCACCCCCCCACCCCTCAAAAAACCAAACCGGAATTCCTTATGGAGACGCTTAGATATATATATATATATATATATATATATACATATGTATGTATATATATATATATATACACATGTATATATGTATATATATATATATATATACTGATTGCACAAGGATGTAAAAGGCACAGCCCATTGGGCCCTCAGCGGGATTTCTTGTCGAGTGACGAGGCCGACATGCTTTCCCCGATGAGGCGGAGCACATGCCCCTGGGAAGGACCGCCCTAAACCCTAAACCTGAGGGGGGTTCGCATCCGCTTCAGAAATCCAGAGCCCTGCGTGTCACGAGTGCAGGAGCCCGCCACTGTCGCCGGGGCTCCAGTCGAATGCAGAGCTGCAAGTGTCATGTGATGCTGAGAGCCGATTTAGTGAGGCCATCCGGCGAGGCGCCGAGAAGCCACACACTCAGTCGCAGAGCCATCAAGCAAGCGCGGGAGAGCTACATCGTGAAAGCCGTCCTGTCTGCGACCAGGCGAGGTAGAAGTCCCACACGATGCGCTGCACGTCGGCCCGCTGGACTTTGCCTCATCGTTCGGTGCGCCCATGCTGCCGTAAAGGAGGGCTTTTCAAAAATCCGTCCAAGCTTCCGGGTCACGGCCAAGTCGCGGTGCTCACACCACATCCAAGCAGCGCTACGAGCACAAGTAAGTGAAACGTAGCTTTCTGTATGAGATGCTTCAGTTCAGAATCATGCGCAGGCGGCGTGGATCCGGCGGTCGTGTACGTAAGGCCCACCGATCGTCGCAGACGGGCATTTCTCGAGCTTTTTTGCAAGTCGCAGCACAGGAAGAAGCGGTGGTTCAGGCAGTGGTAGTGCTTACCTGGACCCCAACAGTGTGTAGAGCAATATCCTGGTCTTATAGGTTTTGGGCCGTGATTTTACCGACTTTTGGGGTTTTGGGGTAGTGGCAAGCGGCAGAACAGGTCGCTTCGTGACTGTTCATGCTACCACTGCCATGGGTTTAGGGTTTTTAGGGTTTAGGGTGTAGTTTTTTTAGGGTGTAGGGTTTTTGGGGTTTAGGGTTTGGGGTTTGAGGGTTTTAGGGTTTAGGGTTCTAGGGTTTTAGGGTATAGGCATCTACGCTCTTCCTCCCTCGCTTGGCTCTGAAGAATGATCCAAGTCGCCAGGCTTTCGAACTTCGCGGCTCGGCGCCGGGGGAGCTTGCGCCTTCAGGCGGCCCCGGAGGAGGCGAGCTGAGGGGGGTGGGTCCTTATTATAATTATAGTGCAATGGGCCCCAAAAATCCCCAAAAGCTATTCTGATTTTAATGAAGGCCCCTATATTATACTACTCTATTGGTAAACTAGCTGAGTTCGTGCTCCTGACAAGGCTCCGGTCGTGACGAGGACTCTTTTCAGCTCGGGTTCGAGAGGTCTCAAGTTTCTCCCGAAGCGGGGCAGTCGGTCCTCGTGCCAATGTGCTGGTTTGTGGGCATTTGCTCCCCTGAAAAGACGGAAGATTCAGGAAATGACGAAGATTGGCCGAATCGTTTAGGCGAGCCTGCAGAAGTGCAGGCGGATGATGGGCTGGAACCTTTTTCGCCCGCATCTCATCCCTCCGCTCGAACACATTGAAATCTGTAAATGTGTGGGCATATCATATCTGTCAGTGGCAGCTCTGTCTGATTCTGGCTTTTGTGCTGACCTGCGCAACCGGCCGAAGGCCTGTGATTCATGCTGGCGGCAGCCTTGGCCTGCGAGTTTGGCAAAGATCGAGGTTCCATCCAGACGAGAGTTGCGGCTGCGGGGTTTTAGAGTTTTTCGGTTCGCCACAGCTGAATCAAGGTACTGAGCCCCCTACCTTCATGACTGACAGCAGGCATCGGACATCACATGCTTGTTGCTCTTACAGCCAGAGAGCTGTGTTTTTTTGGTATCCGCTGAAGCAGCTAACGGACTCTGGAAAGGCAAAAGCGCCGGCGGAGCAGATCAGGAAGCGACTACTCGCAGTGCTCGTCACCGTATGGAAGTTCGCCGAACCTGCAGGCCTTCAAGCTGCGCGAGCGCTTTTGGATGTTATAAGTCTGCATATCTTCCGGCATCTTCCAGCATGAGTGCGTCGGGAGGCCGTTGCTGAAGTCTCCTGCGAAGACCTCCCAGGATGGCTGAACTGAGACTCGCAGGGTGCTGGAAGTTATGTCAGTCTCTCCTTGAGGACACAAGGCGATCGAGGAGAGCCTGCCAAGACACGACTCCGATGACGGGCTCCCCTTCCTGCTTGGCCTTGTGATGGGATTTCGCTCGTATCGCGTTGCGAGAGTATGCAAATCTCCCTGTCCCTCTCTCTCTCAATGTTTGCCGGTGAGATGGGTAGATGCACAGCACAAAACAGTACAATCGCACGCAAGAAACACACGCACCGACCTGGGACAAGCGGAGGGAGCCCTCGGGTCCCCGCCAAGTTGCAAATTTGCAATGGCTTGCTGACCATGTCGTGGGTCTTCGGACACCAAACACATAAGCCTGGATGTATGTATGCATGTATGCCTGTGTCCTGTGTCCTGTGTGTATATGTATATGTACATACTTACATGCATACACACATACATACACACATGTGGTGGCCGTCGTGCCAGGCGTCCTGCAGATCATTTGGAGCATCACAGCCTCGACAGATGCTGCACCTGGAACGACTACAGGAGGCTACTTCGGAACGGTCTTGACATTTTGGCAGGGATGCTTACGGTGCGAGCGCTTTAGAGTTCTGCAGATCTAGAGCTACTCGAGACTACAGACCAGCTACAGACGAACATGCAGGTCTCTGACCGGCACGTTCAGTATGGCTGTCGTGAGACAAGATGTGACTCCGCTATCTCATGCTGAAGGACTTCTGAGGGCCCGGCGGAGGAGGAGGCATGCAAGCAGATCTTCAGCACGTCAGCGCTTGCGTGGTTGTCATGGGCTGGCTTGCCAGACTCTGTGAAGTCATAGGCAAAAGAAGTGCCTGTCTAATCCTGGTGCACCATATGGCCCGTGCTGTAGATGTCAAAAGCGAACAGCCTTCCGAAGAGAGGCACGACATCGGACACCTGGAGCCAGAAACGGAAACCTTTAGCCAGTGAGAAGGCTGATTTTGGAAGATTGACAGGAGATCGCCAGCATTCAGCGACACTTGGAGGCCGGAACAAGCAGCGGCGAAGTGATGATGATGATGATGACGACGATGGAAATGATGACGTTGATCTGAAGTGAAGAGAGGAGGGAATGGCTGAATACGTGATGATACCGAGCGAAGGGGACTGTCATGGCTTCGCTGCAGGAATAGGAGCGTCACGATGCTTGAGGTGATCAAGAAGAACAGGATGACGACAATGCTGATGGCGGTGGTGGCAGTGGGTATACTGTAGTAGCGCTGGTGGTCGTCATCTTCGTCGTCTTCATCCCCTTCGGCTGTCGTCCTTTCCAGCCAAGGCCATGAATGCAGCGGCTGCGGATCTCAACGCGGCACAGGATCGCACCACACCACACCGAACCAATTTATGTTCATAGTTCGCGAGTTCATACATGCAAGCCGTTAAGGTTTGATGTTAGGAATTGGCGATAGCCTGTCGCTGTCAAGTGTACCCGAAAGAAGCCATTGCAAGATGCCAAGTGCGATGACTGGAACTTCTCCCAAGCTGCAGGAATCTCTCGCTGCATGTATGCGCCGGCAGCGCACTATGGTCCAACTGTGGGCCGTGGTGAGTGCAGTTTCCCTAGAGTCTGCCTTGAAGGCGCTTCAAGCTTTCCAGACGGACTGCAGAGCTTTGTGATTTCTGGCCGACCTTAAAAATAACATGTCGGTCCAGTGGCTCATGTAAATAGTGGCTAGTTTGACAAGAAAGAACTGCAAACCTGGGCGCGCAGAGCAAAAGTATCAGCCTTCGGTAGCTCGCTGTTGGCGAGAGCTGTGCTGAGGCTCGCCTGGCGCGAGCAGTGGGCTCGAAGCAGCTGGCCAAGGTGAGTTGCACTTTCTGTGCAGTTCGTCGGGCTGGGGTGAGCGCTCTTTCGGGAGACAGGTCCAGTGTCATGAGCCGAGCAATACAGCAAACCGGAGACCGAAGAAGTGAGACTGGCCGTAGTGAAGCTACATGAAGCTACTGTGAATATGACACCATGATGTAATATGGGCAAGACTAGAAATTGCCAGCATGGTGCCCATACATGGATGCAGTTCACGAATCTTCGCGTTCTCAAGGAGTGCGTCAGACATTCCATGCCTCTGTCGAAGTGCCAAGCACCAAACATCAACTGAGGAAGTTTTAGGATGTAGTGAGGCAGACTGCCATGGAGTTCTTTGCACTCAGACATCTGCAGCATGGGACAGTTGGCAGGTCATGTGGGCTGTCAGTCCATGGAATCTGTAATCTGGCTTCCGATTTCAACAGACACTTCATGCTGTACTCGATGAGTTTGCAGCTGGGCACAGCAGATCCACGGCCCGAGCATGGAGCAAAGTTATAGACTGGCCGTCACCTTCACCAATGAGCAGTGGAGTGCCGGCCCCAGTAGAGAAGCGTGCTTTGCAGGCATGACCCCTATTATGTTATAGGCTTGTAGGCATACACTTCTAGTATTACACTCCAGGTATGATATCGTCAGAGTGTAATACGTATTGTAAGCATGATATCGTTAAACTGATTTTCTAATGAGTATAAATATGATGCCAGTTCAACAAGTGCACTATAGGCTAGCTTCTGCTCCTGGTTCTCCTTGCTGCGATTCCTATCACTTCTCCTACAACCGCCTTTGGAAGACTGTTGCTGCTGCGTTACCTTTGGTTAGTAGGGAATGGAAGAATGGTGGTAGTAGTTATATGGCAGTAATATGGTAGTAATATGGTAGTAATATAGTAGTATATATTATAGTAGTTATACTTGTACCCCATTCCTCCATTCCCGACTAACCAAAGGTAAGCTGCTTGTCCTCCTCCTACTCGTCCGAATAGCAGTTGCTGTACTTGCAACCACTGCGATATGGGAGTTTCCGTATTTTGGGGTCCTTATAATAAGGATCCTACTATTTAGGGTACTATATTAGGGTCCCCTATTTTCGGAAACTCCCATATGGTACCCCTGCTGGTGCCGCCGCTGCTGCCACTACTGGGTTCACAGCCCCCACCCAAGAGCTGCTGTCTAGGTTGCGCCGCGCGCTGCAGGCCGCACTCCGCAACACGAGGAGCTTTGAAGCGCAGGGACTGCTGCACTGGGCGCATTGGGGGTTTAGGGCGGCATGCCGAACTCAAAGCCGTTATTCGGCTGTTCACTCAATTCAAATAAGTCCACGCCAACGGCTAAAAAGCGATGGACAAGCTCTAGCTGCCTTCATAAGGGTGTACGCAGTTGTGCAAACATAGAGGGGAGAGAGTGACAGAGATAGAGAGATGCACACAACATCTTGCGCCATAGCAATCTAGAAATGCGACTACCAGCGGGGATAACATCGTTCTTTTCACACTCCTCCAAAGCCCCATCAATATCAAGCAATGGGGGGGGGGGCCCTGGCGGTCGAGGGGTTTCGCAGACCCCTCGTGCCCTGCAGAAGAAGATACACACGGACCCTAAGACCCAGTGCACGTGGGGCGCGGCGGGCCGGAGGCTGAGTGCAAGCAAGAGAAAATGGGGAGTTTCCGGAAATTAGGGACCCCTATTTTGAGCAAATCTGCGCGCTTCGTCCGGGCTTCGATTCCTTTGCAAGGACTGGTCCCACCGTGTTTTGCAGCGTTGGGGCGACCCGGAGGCCATGCTGATGGGCTGCGCACCCTAAGGCCCCATCGCAGTTCCTTTTTGGGATTACCCTTTAGGATTCTAAAGATCAACCCCCAAAAGGAACGACTATGGGGCGGCCTTAGGGCAGTTACATGGTAAGTGTAATTTGCTTGGATTTCATTTCCATGCGACCATCCGCGGCACCTGAATTTTTGTCTGCTGAACTGTGCTCGCGCGGCTCAAGTGCAGATCAAAGAATCTCAAACCAGCGCAGCCTGAAGCTATAGCCGTCAAGCTCTTCGCACCATGCCTGCTGTGATGCGCCTTGGCCGACTTCTGATGTGTCGGTGACGGTACTGAGAAGATTTGTACTCATCATGAGGCTAACACTGTCGGATGTCTTGTCATTCAGAGCGGACGAGCGAGTTGACAGCAAGCGATGCAAGGACCTTAGTCGTGCCAGTACTGCGAAACAGCGGAGCTGCGCGCAGTAGCTAGAGCATTCGGACTACCGAGGAGAATGAGCACATTGTATACCAACATGTAGCAACGGCAATCGTCATGGTCGTCGACGCAAGCAACAGTTGCAGCAGTAGTCGGTGCATATAGCAATAACAGAAAGTCGACGCAAGCAACAGTTGTAGCAGTAGTCGGTGCATATATAGCAATAACAGAAATACAAGTACATGTACTGTTGCATTAATCACTGTTCTCCGTTTTGTCATTACTGTTATCATTTAGTACTGTTACTAAACCCCCAGAAGAGAGAATTATTTTGGGCCTTAGTTTTTTAGTATTAGGGGGATTTCGGGTGGCTTTAGGCTGATTTTGCGAACTTCGTTTCCAGGATTTTGAATCCCCAGGCAAGGGTGTGCGTCTAACGAAAAGCATGGAATCGGGAACGGGAGGAACTCCCAGCGGAGGGCGCAGCAGGGCCAGTAGTTGCTGCTTCGAACCCAGAACTCCCTGGCTAGGCGGTGGGGCGCGGGATTGGGTGCGGATTGGCATGCGCAGGCTGATAGGAGTACATTGCTGTCTCGAATCCCCTCGCCTGGGAGTTCCTCCCGTTCGGATCCCACGCTTTTCGTTAGATGCGCACCCTTGCCTGGGAGTTCAAAACTCTAGACGGCAAAACCCTGAAATTCACACATCCGGACTCCCTCGGACGCCGCATTCCAGCGCCCCATGCCAACTTTCCAAATTCTCTATGCGACCCTAGCCTGGTAGTTCCAAATCCGTGATGGCCATCCTACCTGACCCCTAAGTCAACACAGTTTAAATTTGCTCATTTTTGAACTTTTTGCTCGAAATTGGAAAATATTCGGCCGGGGAATTATTTATATATTTACAGGGGGGATCCATTAAACGGATGAAGGGATGAGCAAAGTAGCCGTTGTTTTAGGCAGGAGCATGTAATGGCAGTGGCAGTTTAGTAGTCGTAGTGGCAGTGGTAGTGTTATCGGCCGGGGGAGCCTTGAGACGCGGCCTGTCTGCGGAGCGAGGTCCCGCTTCGGAAAGGCAGCCCTTTCTGGCGTCCAGCGCCTGGGGTCGGTGGCTCAGGGCTTTGTGTGACGCTGTTGATAAGGGACCTTCGGAAACTTTACGGGTGCTGTTGTAGGATTCCTGACAGTCCAAGGGTAGTCTGTGAATTGACAAGTACCTCTATACCTGACAGCGTTCCTGCAGCGCCCCCGCCGAGTCTGAAGAGCATGGTGCCTCAAAGCCGCTGCATCGCAGCAGTGGATCCAGTCATTGCTCGCGCGTGGCTCGAATGCAAGCCGTGCAGACTTGAAGTTTTGAGCTGTGTGCATGTACACTGCTGTTTGGAGCGCTCGTACTGCAATTCCTGCTGTTGAAGGCAAGGTCGGTAGCAGAGAAATCAGGCAGAGCTCCAACGTCTCCCAAAGCTGTTGAGGTTCAGCTTTCTACCCAATGCAGGTATATGCGGATCTAAAGTCCAAAATATATGTTCAGTATTTGCACATACGGGAGTTTCCGAAAATAGGGGACCCGAATATATAGCACCGCAAATAATAGGATCCTAATTATAGGGACACCACAATAAGGTACCCCTAATTTGCCGAAACTCTGATTTGTGTGGCCAGCGTGCGAGGCGCGAGATGCAGAAGATGACCTACGACCCAGCCAAGGAGGGCGAGGTGAAGGCACCCAACTATGCCTCCAAGCTGGTTTAAGGTTTGGGGTGCACCCCGAGCTGCAAAGGCAGACAGTTCGTGGCAACTGAACTTTAGCCGAAACTTAACACCAATCCCCAAACCAAAACCTAAATCCCCAACCCAAACGATCTGAGGTTGGCTGGGACAAGGAGATTGACGACGATTTCAAGAAGCTCACGGTTGGCCCAGTCAAGGGCGGCAGGCGAGCCGCCGAGCCTGTTTGGTGCACTTATCCACTCATTTTTACTCGTAGCTGGTATGGTTTAGGGCCAAAGTTTGGGGTTTAGGGCAGGACTCGACTTACAATTCCGAGCAGTGAGAGCTCATGATCAGCTAGCACCCTTGAAATCTCGGCCTCCGGGCAGGCCTTATGGCAAGATCTGTGATTCCGCCCTGGATTTGATTGGCTTCACCCCGTCTCCGGGCCGCAGGCAGTTGACAAAGAATCAGAAGAGCCTGTGCCCCCACTTGGTATCAGCAAGAAGACGAAAAATGCCAAATCCCGAGCCAGCTGCCATGAATGCAGAAACAACTGCGCCATGCTTGGCCAAGGATGGTTCGCATGTCGCGATTTGCCAAGTTCTTCGCAGCTCGGAAAGCAAGACCTTCAGGCTTGTCGGGGTAGGGTCGAGAAATCGTCGAGCAACTACGGAACTACGATGCAGCGCTGGGAAGACCGAAGCAAGGCCACGAGATGTAGTGCTCCGTGCCTTCTTCCGAGGATGTGGATTGCGATCTCCTTGCCAAGGCAGGAGTCGGTTTCGGAAGGGCTGTAGAGGGGCCTTGTGGGGTACTAGAAGGGCTGTATAGGGTGTTGAATGGGGTTGCTTGATCTTAGGCCACACCATTTACTAGTGTACAGCAGATTCCCGGTTAAACCGGCCTGCAAACCACAAAAGAAAGACTCCCAAACACGGTGACAGACCGGAAAGGTTGAGCTCTTCAACGCCGGCGGCTCTGTCAAGGCACGGTCCCCCATTTTTCTCGATTCAAAGACGCATGACACCACCTCAAACTACTAAGCCCTAACATCCCTAAACTCAGACCCAGCACACAAAACCCCCTGCATCCAAGA